AATTAATCTTAGTTTTATTGCTTATCTTAAGAATAAATATTATGGTACCTATCATTGGAATGGTTTAGATTTAAAAATTTTAATTTGTAATTTTATAAATATTTTTTGCACTTGATAATTAAGGGTGGAGGAAACAAACCAGACCTGTTTTATAGCCTATCGGCCTGAGTCTGGCCTATGGCCTGTTACAAGCTTATTTTTCAGTTTGAACTTAGCATGAAACCTGTTTAAAAAGCCCGTATTTTAAAAAGAATTCAAATTAAAATATATATATTTTTAAAAAAAACTAAGATTAAAAAACGTGCATAATAATTAATTTTTTGGTCTTATTTTTTATTTAAATTTTGATATCATAAGTATTATTTTAAATCTCAATTACAATTTATGAGGATATTATTGAAAACTAGGCGTAACTAGATATTAAAATTTTGAAACAAGACTATGTTCAAGTACACCAAAAAAAAATTAAGACAAATAAATAAAGAAAAAAATATTAATTTTATAATGAATAAAGAGGGTATCATAATTTAATTAACACAATACATAAGTTAATTAATTTATCATTCTTGGAACAAAATTTTTCTTTTTAATTTTATTTATATTTTTAAAATTTAAAAATCACATTATTTATTGATATTATTGTTTTAAATTATATTTTTATCTTCACTTATCAACTAAACTTCAAAGAAAGGATTAAGCTATTAACTATATATTAAAATTAAAAAATAAAATAAAAAACATATTAATAATAGTACCATTAACTAATTTTTTCATATATTATAATTATAAATTTTTAATAGGTCCAAACTGGTCTAACATGTTTAGCAGACTTTTTAGAGAGTCTAAACTTGGCCTGTTTAGTTAAACAGGCCTGAGCCTGTCTTTTTTAGAAAACAGGTCAGGTCAAATGTAGGTCAAGCCATTAGTTTCTATATACCTAATCAAATAACCAAGCCTAGCTTCTATATACCTAATCCAATAACCAAGCCTAGTTTCTATATGCTTAATTCAATAACTAATTTTCTTCCAATAACCAAGTCTATATACTTCCTTCAATCATAAATAAAAAGAATCTAATTAACTAATTTTATTCCAATAACCAAGCAGACGTACATGTCTAGATTTCTCTAGCTTTTATCTTCTCAAGTCCAAGCGGGACTTCTGCATTTATTAGCCCATGCATTTAGGGACAACAGTAAGTGTCATCTTTGATATAAAAACTAGATAACTAATTTATAAATTAATAAATTAATTAAATTAGTTATTTTATTTGTAACAAATATATCTTGATTTTTTAAAATATCATTTTTAATTATATGCATTGGTACTACTTGTTATTTGGGAGCCACTTAATATATGTAATTTAGGGTTAACAATGATAAGTTTGGAAGGCCGACTAGATTAAAATTTTATATTTAAGATTAAAATAAATTTTATTTTTAATTCTTATATTTAGAACTGAATGTTGGTTTGGCTTCCACTTTTTTGTTTTTAAATAATTTTTTCGTGGAGCATCTTCTGGAAGTCATTAGTTTGCAGGTGTGCCCATCCAATTTACACAAGCATTATAAGCCGAACTTCTAGAGAAACCTCCAAATATATCAGCGTCCTTCTTTTGATTTTGACCTGGTACTAAAATCAAGCGCGGATGTCTTGTTTGTGTAGAATCGTGTGTGGTTATGAATTTTTTGGTGCATATAATGAAAAGGAATATGATTAAAAATGCAATCAAAATAATTCTCATACTAAAAAATAAACTTTCTTCCTCTTATTTTTTCAAATAAACAGATAGTGTTTAATAATACTTAGAAAATAGGAAAAATTAGTAAAAAAATCCCTGTTTGAAATTTTAATTGACCAGAAAGACCTGAATTGTGTAAGTGCAAGTATGATCCGTGAGTGCAACATATCATCCACTGGCTAATTAAAATTTCAAACAGGGATTTTTTTTACCAATTTTTCCTAGAAAATTGGTCTTGGTAGTCAAACACCCAAATGAGTTTAGATTCACAATAAATAATTTATTACATATAAATGCGGAAACAAAAATAAGAAAAAAACTGAGATGTGTGTAAATAAATAAAATAGGCCCTACTCTCAATTTTGTATATCACTCTTTGTTCTCGGTAGTTTTTTTTTCAAAGCTAGACACAAGTATTCTCATATTGGAGGCATTGTCTAGGTACTCATCTCAGCGGGAATTTAAATATTGACTCATCATGTTATGAGAAACTAACTCCTTCTATTAGATCTAACCCTTATTGCTCTTTCTTCTAACCCTTCAACACATTTCATGCAGAGGATTCAAACTTTAACAAATGGTTAGCCCAACCAATTCAGCAAGTACTTATTTCGTTCCGTGCTAACCATTTCAGAGTTTAATCTTTGATAGAATGTCTCAGAGCTATTTCTTTTGGGTTCATTTTGATTCCATTTGGGATTTGAAATTATATTTCTTCTTTCCTTTTCATTTCAGACAACTTAAGTATGGCTGAATTATGGTAGCAGTTCATGGATAAATTTGAAACACAGCAAGATATGGATCCCTTATGGTGCCTATATCCCTCAAATGCTCAGGTAAAATTAAAATAACCATGCTATTTTTATACTTCTACTTTATTTATAACAAATTTATGCTTCTCTAATACACTACACTTGAGAAATGAGAACCCAAGGGATATAGGCATTACAGGGATCCACATCCGGGTGAGTAAAAGAGACTAATAGTAACAGCATAAAAGCAAAGAGCAATACATGAACATGATATGACCTAATTTGAAGATGCTACACTACCAGATAACCAATAGGTTCATTTCTTACAAGTGAATCAGAAGCTCTACAAGAAAGAGCTCACCATCAAACCTTAATCCTGCAGCCTCAGTAGGCTGTAGAACACCATCCACCATCCCTCCAAACACATAATAAACATAACGCCCGGATTGATCTGCGCACGCCCGATGAAATGATCTACATTTGGCCCCATACCCATTTGATCTCCAACCTTCCAAATCCTCTTGGAGTTTGATCTCGCCCTGGTTGTGCTTGAACTAGTTGCTGCACAGTACTCTTACCAGTACAAGGAATTGCACTCACATCTAATGACCAGAAATCATACATGCATCACATAACAATTGAGAGCAGACAGAGCAATATATGGAAGGAGACAATGTAAATTCAGATACATGAACCTATCTTATGGCTATAATTGAATGCTCAATAGAGGCTGGGCTCTCATAATTCTGAGTGTTTAAGTTGACCGTGACATGTTCAAGAATCATAAAGTACTAAGATTCAAACCAGTTAAGCATGGTATACATCTAACTCTTTTGAAATGATAAGCTACTATGATAATCAGATTTAATCATGCAAGAATCAGAAATCTAGTTTATGCTTCAAGACAATAAAATATAGTGAAAGAATGTGATTATATGTGGAATGGTGCCATTCCCTATTATCTGAGAAAAATACTTAAATATTCTTGACGACTTCTCTTAGTTCCACAAAGTTAGGGACAGAGTCACACAAGCGAGCTGAGATATGTCAACATGCGATAAAAAGTATTTTTAAACACACACAGTGATATCAATTGCAAAATTGAATAAAATAAAAGCAGAAGCCATGACTAGGACTGTTGAAGATTGGCACGTAAGATCAGAGACGAAGTTGAGAGAGTGAGAAAAGCTCTTGGGGTAGGAAATCTATTTGAGAAACTGGGTCACATAATCTATGGCAATAAACAGAATCCAAGAGTGAAACTGCTTGTAGAGCCTCAATCCATGGAATTGAGGCTGATTATTGATGATACTGCTACACTTGAGGGCAATCGACGCAAACATCTGGAACCCCAATCTCTCCTACACAGAGATTCCCACACAGTGTCAGAACAAGTGAATTCTCAAACCTCCTGCAAGTCATGGATAGAGACCAAATCGCATCAAGTGGGCAGGGAAAGGAGAGAATATAGAATGAAGAGGTGGTCCTGAAGATGTTTGTTATTGGTGATCCTCCATAGTTCTGATTCTCCTCCATCTCCATGGCTGGATCTATCTATGGCTTTGAACTGGGTTGAGGCCGGACACACGTCTGAAAGAGGATTTTGTTTCTAGGTTCTAAATTTCTACTACACCATGTGAAGAGTTCATTGCGGTTGGAAGATAAATTGGTAAAATGGGTGTTTGGTATTTCAGAAAATGGTAAATTTTCCTCTGGAAAGGGATTGATTGTGGACAGGTTAGCGGGGGTGCCCATTTTCTTTGTCCTCTTTGTGAAATTATGAGCTTCTTTTTAACCTTTGGCTTCTTCCGCGGCTTGCTGTGTCACGGTTTTTGAACAAGACACTCCACTTTTATTCCAAAAAAGATTTCATTTTTTTTGGGTTGCTTTGGGGCCCCTTTTTTAAGTTTCATCACTAACCCTCAAATCTTTTTGTGCCATATTTTCTTATCAGAATCTCATCAGTCCAGTCCGAGGCGTCTTTATTCAGGCCTGTGCTATTGATAGTTGCGTTTAAACCCTTTGAGGTTTCACCCAAAACAAGGAAAGAAAGGAAGAAAGAAAAGAAAAAAACTTTGAATTTGATCCCTTTTCACATCATATTACGTTGGACTGTTCAACACGATTTGTATGGCCTTGGGATTCTGCCCAGTCATAATGGAGCGAAGAAAATTGCGGGAACAGTATGAATCCACACAGAAGATGCTGAATACGTCTGCATCCGGATTGATATGTTGCATTTAGAGATAAGGTTTAATAATTATGATTTCTTCATCAAATGCCTGGTCATTGGATAATACTGATTACTTTTCTTCTACAAATTTACAATTTTGTTAAGCAAACAAAAACAGGAACAAAGATAAAAACAAAAATATTTTATCCACTCTAGTCAGATTTGCCTGTACACGGGATTTATAAACTTGGGAAGCAAATAAAAACAGAACAAAAACAGTCAAGACAACAGACACAAGCTGATTGGCTTGCAGATATACATAATAAACATAATAAGAACTAACTTAATAGTAGGATTCTTTGGTAAATACTACTGATAATGCATCAGAGTTAAAGGCTTTCAAATAAGTTGGAAAATCATAATATTATTTCCTGACATCTTATTCCCAAAATGGGCATTCAGTACCTTGCTCACAAAACACATCCCCAGTTAGCCACGTCAAAATTCTTCTAGATATAATACAATATGGTGCATGACAGTCCATAAGCATGTTTACTATGGACTTTTAACACACCAAGGACAGCATTATTAGAGCCAAAAATGAGAAAGACCACAAGCTCAACACAGTTCAGTTGTCTGTCTCATATAGAATTAAGGGAAGGATAAAGTCAAGGGACGTTCTATTTCTACAAGTGGTACACCCCCCCTCTGTGTACTAATTTCCAAAGAGCAGCTTTAGCTTCTTCTAGCGTCTCCACACTCTGCCCGTCGTCAAATGATATCCTCTGGACGTTGAACTGCATAAAAGACGCAGATGATTTAGACATCAGCTAAACAGTTTGAACCCCAAATAACGTGCTGTCGGATAAGCATGTACCTGGGCACCTTGACGAACCCTGATATCAGTCCCCTTGCTGTCTATGGATATGAGAGCAGCATCATCTACCTCTGTCTCGGTGGATAGAAGCTCCTTCAGGGGCTTTGAGAAGATAGCATTGAGTTCCTATAGTCGCAAAAGTACAAGGCTCAAAAATAATAACAGTAGCAGTACAACTCTTGGTTGGCAAAATACATAAAACCAGATAGGAATACACTGTTGTATCGGTATGTATAGCTTATCAGTATATTCAAGTTAAATATACTTGTTTTATTTTCAATTTAAAAAGTTAAAATCATCATAAATCTCCTACAATTTTATCACAGGAGAAGATCTGACTGAGGCAATCAAAATTCCCTTCAATGGATCGAACTTGTAAAATTAATGTTTAGACTGAGGAGGATCAAGGAAATCAAAAGAAAATACTACTCCAAATTGTTTTGGAATTTTATCAAATAAAAGAAAAATGCAATAAGATACTTCTTGTGCCTTCTGAACAGCAGCCCATAATAACCTATAGTACAAAACAAAAAGGAGCCAAATTGAGAAGATGAGGAGAGTGGGGATAGGAGAAGTGGTCATTCAAAGAGTAGTTATTGAGCAAATTACCCATTACACGTAGAAGCAGGGAAGTGAACAAAGACCACCTAGGCTGTAGCAGCTTCAGTTATGGGTCAGTTATGTTATGAATTGTCAATTGTCAGTAATACTTATTAGTCTCAACCCTGAGTCAGTTGTGTCCACTAGTCAACTTTACATTTCAGTGTAGATGTTAATGGTTAGCTTGTGATAATTGTGTGTATCGGAGATCCTTTATTAAGGTCTATTTTTCTTTTTTGGACCTGAACATTTGGGTTATCAGAGTAATAGTGAATTTCAGATTCTGGCATTATTTGCCTCTAGTAACCTTCTATTTCCCTACATTAATTTCACCAATACCCATCAAAATGACCCTCAAATTCTAAATGTATACCCCCGTCAGCAAGATAAATAAACCATCACAACTTTATCTCTTCCCAGCTAACAGGCTATAAAAGTTACTATACATATTTCTTTGAATTAAGACAGATTTTCTATTCTTTTTTCACCAAGCAAGAATAAGAGAAGTCACCTTTAGGTTCTGCTCGCCACCATCAACTGCAATCTTATCAGGTTGAAGGGTTTCATATTCTTTCACGTCCACCCAAGCAACAGTTCCAAAGCCTCCAATGAAATATATGTCACTGCAAATAATGGATTGATTAGATTAGGCAAAAAAGTTGGTGATAACTGCATGTGACAATGAGAAGAATTCATGATCTTTAATTCCCAATGTTTAAGTTTAATAATTTCAATCCTCTTGCCAGCTACCATTTCTGTTATGAAACTCTCATTTAGTAAACACAAGTCTCAAGTTCCATATAAACTTCTGACAAAAATATCAGTTAATCGGAGCTTAAGCAGACAGTCAATATCAAGAATAACAAAAACGTATGAACCTTTTTTGACCACTAGAAGTACCCCTTGCAGCAAAGTCTAATCTCTCTAAAGGTATGGACCTTTTGAATCAATGAGTGTGTGTGTACCAGATGCAACACCCACAAAAAGATTAACTAGTTTTTAAAAAGTGTAAACAAAGTTTTCAAGTTGGATCTCCAAAAGATATAGCCAATTATGGAAGCCCATGTAAAAGTAGAGTAAGTTGTTTGTCCAAAGCAATAAGCATAAACCACATCAATTTGCCAAGTTTAAAGAGTGAACAACCTTATATTCTGCATCCTAAAATAGTAGAAATTGCCCCACTGTTGTGAAGGCCCCTGTTGATGCTTTGCTATGTACTGCTTGTGGGCCCATTCCTGTAAAGCATGAGTAGATATCATGATTTATGTTCAAATAAATATTAAATTAAAAGAAGCTAGGTTTAATTCCACATGCGAGTATGCAATTACTGATCCAGTAGCCCAAATCAGTACGCAAATTACCTGTTGATCTTCGGTAAGTGGATAGACATCACCAAAGATAGTTACCCTTGCATTGGACAGGCCACTCCACCCAGGTATCTAATAAACCTAACTATCAATAAAATCCATAAATGGAGAATAACAAGGACCAAAATGTAAAAGGTCCGAGAGGGAACATTTGATCACAAACCTGAACAACAAGTGTGCATCTTGGGTCAGCCAACAAATTCCTTGTGTGAATGGCAAGTGGTGAAAATGAAAATATCGGATCTGCAATTCAAAAATATCATTTAAGTTTATAAAGAAATCATAAAGCATTGAAGTAATTATAAATTAGGAACTTGAAATTCCATCTACAGCAAGAATGTGAAATCCATACCCGCAGGCATATTATCCTTAACTCATTCTACTTAGGGATTGAAGAATAAGTAGGAATCTTCTGTCGTTCATGCTCATGTTCCAAATATGTAAATTTGCTTATTCCATTTAGTTGACTCTACCATTAAGGATACTTATTTTCAATTCTCTCACGTTTCCAATTATTTAGACTTGGCTTCCCAACTCAGTCTCCTATTGATCTTACTTGAAACATGAAAAAAGCAAGTATGGAATTCCATATGCAAATCAACGATCGGCTACAAATTAAAAGAAAGAGACATAATTGAGTAAACAGACTTACGGCCCATTGGATCAGGGGCAAAGTCTACCAGAGAACCAAATGGATATCCTTCTCGCCGGTGGTGCATCCGAGACATTACAGTGCACAAATGAGCAAATCTAGCCTTGAATTAAAGAAGGAAAAGGTAAATTAGAGTTGATCAGGTGAAGCCACGAATCAAATTAGTTCTGGAGTCAGCTCTATTGCAGGATATATGATATCTTGTTTTAGTGCTACTAGCAAGGCCAGCCCCTTACCTGTTCCATCAAATTGCGCACTGCTAGGGCTGGTCTAGGTAAACCATGAGCTGAGGTAGCACTCTGCACTCCGCCAGAAATAGGCGTTCTAAAAAGTCCAGCTCTTGAACCACCACCTGCTCCGCTTCCGCTAGGGGTTGGGAAAACAGTCAATGACGTGTCTACTTTCAATGCCTGATCTGCATCCTTGTCCGAGCTCTGACTGTTGCTTAAGTTACTCTGCAGGAAGAAAGGCAACCAGCTAATCACTGCTCTAAATGATCTTAATTAAGCTAAACATGAGGAATTTGTTCACAATAATTTTTTTCCCCAACACAACCCTCATGTTCTCAAAGTTCTACCAGCAAATTCCTCATGTTTTAACACAATTAAAACCACTTTTTTCTGAAGCTTAAACAACTGGGACCTAATACATGAGTCACTACACAGATTATCCATCCAATCATCTATTGTTAACTGAAAACTTTTCTATACCGCTTCACTGTTTTACCCAAATCAAAGGCATATTATGTTTCATCTGTCAGCTGAATGCAGCCTTCTTCCCTAACAAATCCATTTATTCAGAGACCAATAAGAATTGAATACAGCCGCAATAGCAACAGCAATGACAAAATGCACCAGCTGATCAACCAACGTATACGAAGATCTTTAGCCATTATGGACGTAATCGCGGGAATTCCCCTGCGTGCGAGTCTATAAATTACACGATGCCAGCAAATACACTGGGGAGACTGCTTTTCCATTAAGCTCCACAAATTATAAAGTGAATACAAATATGTAGATCAGACGGTGTCACAACCCACCATAATATAAAACCGAAAGGTATACTCGTTTTTATATGCAAAGGTAAAATCACACAGAACTAAGGCAACTTATTTTATATATTGCTAACTAACTAAACATGGCATTAAATACCAACATTTACCGAACAGCTGCGCCCTTTTTGGATTTTATATTACACGCATACACCTTATGTCAACCATGAGCACTTCAATAACAATCAAAAGATTAAATTTTGGGCATCAAAAGTAGCCTTTTACGGATAAATAGATGCGTACAAGTTACGTTCTTCGAAAACTGTAAAAAAAAATATAGAAATGAAAGAAATTACCTCAGAAAAACTTTCCTGAGAAATTAAACCGAAGCCATTATTTACTGCCTTCCCATCTTCGCCTTCGCTGGGAACCTCGTGAGCGAGATTGGAAGCACGGAGGGCAACGAACCGTGAATGCTCCATTAGTTTCAGTGACCCAGTTCGATTGCCAGCTGTTCCAATGGAAGAAGGATATCGGAGGAAAGAATAAACCTCCAGCATCTTAGCGTTAAACACAGAGCTCGAAAGGGTTTCCATGGAATATAGAACGAAAAAGGAGAAACTGCAGCAGAATAACAAAAGATTTTTGCCTTTTCCACCACAAACAGGAAGCTCTAGTTTGCGTACTTATGAATGGAAACCAGGATATTAAGCCCGGGTACATGACACCGAATCTGAGGATGGGCTCGTAGGACGTACAATTACTTCTTTATGTATTTAATTTACTACCTCCGTTATTCGTATAAAAACCCTGTTTGATTTTTATTCTGATATTAAATATAAGATTTTAATCTATTTTATTTTTTTATATTTATTTAATTTTTTTTAAGATAGTCTTTTAATAATTATAATTATAATCAATACATTTGATTAGTAAGAATATTTTAGGAAAGACAACACCTATTTAAGGCAAATAACTAACTCAACTTAGTTTTTTAATCTTCTCAAATTAGTCAACTGGTTCTTATAATTAGAACTGGAAGTAGTATTATATATTTTTATTTACCAGAAAATTCCAATGAAATAATTTTGAAATGCTAAAAAGGGATCCAATTTTAAAAATCCCAAGACAAAATTCCAAATCGATACCCATAATCAAAAAGAAATTTTAAAATGTTGAATTTTACTTTTATTTTAAAGAATAAAAAATAACATAAACCATTAGAGACGTAAGACATTGTTGGCTAAGCGTCAGAACTCCAATACCGGCAATCGATAGGTCATTGGAATTTTGGCAGGCGATCAGCTAATAAGATTGTCAGTGAGGGTGACTTGAGTTTCTTTTTTTCTTTTTAAATAAAACATAGTATTATAAGTTTATTAATTTTTTAAAATTTTAATTTGGTTATAAATATTGATATTGATTTGGAATTTTGTAAATTGAAATGATCTTTTTTAGACTTTTAAAATTTAAAAGGTAATTTTGTGAAATTTTTTCTAAAAATTTTAGTTCGAAGCATCAACTAAATCACTCCTTTACAAATAATATGGTGATTTTGTTGGCCAAAACATATGGTGATTTAACATTATCCAACCCAAAAAAAAAAATTCAAGGTAAAAAAAAAACAAAAGAAATCTTCACAATTTAAAGAAACCAAAACTCTGTGACTTCAAATATAATGATAAAGAGTTGGCCAATAAGTAATAGCGTAATTCTTAAAGTCGTGAGTGCAATGCATACAAATTTACTTGTGGATAAAAGAACTTCGTTGATCAAATATTTACATTTTTAAGTTTGTAAGCACGCCTTAATAACTCATCTAAACTTTTAATTACCAAAACAAGTATGATTATTTTTTTTGTTTTTGGTAAACTAAAGTTTAGGTTCGTTGGATTTCTGAGGCTCACCAGACTAGGACATGTCTTCAGACTCAGAGAGTACTTACACAGGTATTTACGGATCCCCTACTAATAAGGTTCTTATATAAGTAACAGGATTTGAATTCACGAGGTTATCAGCTAATTTCTTACTAATTAGAGTAAATCTTGTTGGTCAGGTGAGATTACTTTTGCCAGAAAGAACTGTTCCCCAGCACGTGTAAGGCTAGCGCAGAGTGAAGCGAAGGCCGTTCGGGTTGCAGAAGTTACCAGTACGAACATTTCTTGTTACTTGAAAGTTCATCTCTGTTGACTCTTGCTTCTGTGTATGGAGCATGGACCCTTCTCTCGGCTCCAACAAGCGTCCGCCTGATCGCACCTTCGACCTCCCCACTCCCACCCCCAAGCGTCGCCCCCATCCTCCGCCGGCACCCTCGCCGTCCGCCGCTTCTGCCTCCGACATCGTCTTCCGTATTCTATGCCCGGCATCTAAGACCGGCGCCCTCATTGGCAAGGGCGGGTCTGTCATTCGCCACTTCCGAGAGCTTACCGGAGCCAGAATTCACGTTGATGACTCTGCTGCTTCCTCCTCTGATGAGCGTATCATTGTTATTGCTTCCAATGCCAGCTCTGCTTTTCCTGCTGAGCAGCAGCATGGCACCCTTTCGTCTAACAATTCAAATTCCGGTGCCGGCGACTGCGATGATGGCTCGCCTGCTCAGCAAGCTTTGATTAGGGTTTTCGAGAAGATGGCAAGGGTGGATGAGGACAAACCTGAGGACAATAATAATAATGGTGGTGGAAGTGAGATTAAGAATTCGGTAACTTGTAGGTTGCTGGCGCAGAGTAATCAGGTTGGGTGTGTTCTTGGGAGAGGAGGGAAGATTGTGGAGAAAATAAGGCAGGAGACTGGGGCTCAGATCCGAGTTTTGCCGAAGGATCAACTTCCAGCTTGTGCGTCTCCGGGAGATGAATTGATTCAGGTGGTGCTTTTCTTTATTCTCATTGGTCGAGTATGTCAATTCAATTGAACTAAATTTATATTTTTGCAAATTCCCCTTTGAATGTGATTATGTGCCCTAAATCAGCTGAGTTTTAACTAATTATTTATGAAGATGACTGTATGATGAGAGGGCTGATTATAGCACTAATCTTAGGCACAAATCACTCCTGAATGCATCATTTTCTTTCTGATATCTTTGTCTTTACTAATGCGAAATAACTCCTTTAACAGAAGGGACAAATCGAGGGTAAAGAAATTTGCGGAAAGTAATTTACAAAATGAAATTTTGGGGAGGGGAATAGATTGGAAGGGAAAGGGCAGCTAGTGCCGGGCCTTGAGGCTTGTATATTCCTAAATATCAGGTGTAATATCTAAAACAATATTCCTTGTTCAAGGCGTTGGTGTTATTTTCATTGATGGTTTCACGTGCGTATTTATTAAGAGGGATGCTCCAAGCTGGTTGTGCATCATTTGAAACAAGCTTCGGAGACTCAAATTATATTGTCAATTATATTTTGGCGGGAATTATTATGTTATGAGATTTTTCATGTAATATACAATGCTTAGATCTATATGTGGGGCGATCATCAGTGTCTTGCCTCCTTATCATGGAATGTAAATAGTTTATTTTAAAGTAAAGGATTATGTTATATTTTTTAAAATATTGTGTTTTCCTCATTTAAACATATATATTTATATGTATTATACTTATACATTAATCGAGGCAAAGTCTTACATGTCTGTGATATGAATTCATATTCCAAGTTTACATATTTCTTACAAGTTTCCTTAAACTCACGAGTTTTGACAAACTTGGTTAGAAACTTGGTCTGTCATGCTACCTATCATGTATGTATATGCGCCTCTACGGAATGAAATAATACACGATTTTCTGATTTCTTACATATAAGCCTTAATTTGTGCTGTTTGTCAATTTCATTATGTTCCAATTGCATTGATTTCCCCAAATTCCCTTTTCTTTTTCTTTTTCTTTTTCTATGGCACAGTAAGCTTGAGGCCATCTTATGGTATATGCAGATAACAGGACACCTAATAGCCGTAAAGAAGGCACTCCTCTCTGTTTCAAGTTGTCTCCAGGATAACCCGAGAGTTGATGCAGTCAATTCTGGTGCTTTTAAGCCTTCTGGAGGACCCCATGGTGCTGCGCCACCGGCACAGGTTGATCCTTATCCTCACCGGGGTTATGCATCTGGCATATATGCTCATGATCATCATTCCAGAGGTTATTCTTCTTTTCCAGGGCCTGCAGGCATGGGGGCTGGTCATCGAATGTTTGTGGAAGAGGAGGTTGTCTTTAAGATGTTGTGTCAACAAGATAAAGTTGGTAGTCTTATTGGGAAAGGTGGATCTGTAGTGCGGTCTTTGGAAAGTGAGACTGGTGCATCTATCAAAATTGCTGATTCTGATTCAGATGAGCGTGTTGTTGTTATATCTGCACGAGAGGCATGAGCTCTTAAGTATCTCTAGTTATAATTCTTTTGGTGTTTTGTGGGGATATATCTGATTCTTGCAAGCACAGTAGTGAATTAACGCTGGTTTTTATGTTGATTATGCTTGCACAATAATGTGTCTTCTTGGCTCAATTCGTTCATGATTTCTGTGTGCGTTGACACTATGGTAAATGACTGGAGTTTCCCTGAGTTCTTTTCTCTTAATTTTATTCAAAATGTTAGAGTTACCTGAAGGAAATAGTTTTGCAATATTTGGTGGTTCAATTTTCTTTTGTATTTCTCTGTTGGTAGGAGAAAATTCTGCCCACTTAATATTTATCCAAAGAATATGATATTGTCTTAAAGAGTTTCTTGGTCGGGACTTCAGAAGTTGTTTGTTGAGATCATCATCATCATCAACTGGCTTAATGTGTCAATTTTTGTTTACTAAGTGCTTTTATCAGAAAGTTGAGGTGGGCTGATTTCTTCTATAAGGAATGTCTTTTATCACTGCCTGGTTTGATTAGGTCCATCTTCAGATTGGTTATTTTGTGAATTCTGTTCAGAATATTTTAAACATGATAACTTTTTCATTGTATGTCTAGTATGTTGTAATGATGTTGCATCGAATATTCTTTTATAATCTTCTGCAGAATCCAGAGCAAAAGCATTCCCCTGCACAGGATGCTGTTATTCGTGTCCATTGTAGACTTGCTGAGATTGGATTTGAACCAGGTGCTGCCCCTGTTGCTAGGCTGCTTGTACCTTCACAGCAGATAGGTTGCTTGTTGGGCAAGGGAGGTTCTGTTATCTCTGAAATGAGAAGAGCTACAGGTGCTAATATACGTATTTTCCCTAAAGAACAGGTTAAATGTGCTTCCCAGAATGAAGAAATTGTACAGGTAATTGACACTTCTGGAATTGGGTGAGAAGAAAGGCTGCTGTATTTTATTTCACTGGGTATAACATTCAGGAAAATGCTATATTCCTCTCTATTTGAACAGTCTAGTTTGCCTTGTGACATTTTTTTTCTTTGTGATTTTGTTGATTTTCATACTTCTTTAGAAGGAGCCAATTTTTCTTCCCTTATTTTGTTGCCTAACTAGACTTTATAATCTGTATAATATTTTACTACCACAGTTCCATTTTTAGCTTTTGCTGCTAAGTTAGCTGATCAATTTTTCATTGACTACTACTGTACTAGATGTCCTGTGTACTGTCTCTCTTCTGTTTTCAATGCGATGAGCATGAAGATGTTGTTCTACATTATGGTGTCATGGTAGTCACGTACTTTCTATGTATGGTAATTTTCTGATACATAATTATGGATCATGACAACAAATGTCATATCTTGCTCTTGCTCTGTAATTCTGCTGTAGGCATGCTCATACCTCTTTAGTACAATACTTTGAATTTCAGTTCTTTGCAGGCTCTTGTGATATTGAATAATATGTGCTTTCATGTCAGGTTATTGGGAATTCACAATCTGTGCAGGATGCTTTGTTTCACATAACCAGTAGAATTCGAGAAACCATTTTCCCGATAAAGGCACCTCCTCCAAATTTTGGCCCACCTCCTCATATGCCACCATTCTCAGAAATGCCTCCTCCTTTGTATAGACCAAGAAATCATCCCATGTCCTCTAGTCACCCTCCTCAAGTTGGACCTCCGCATGGAATTGACCACTCGGCTGTTCCCTCGCAGCCTATTGATCCTCAACATTCATATTTTCATGGTGCGGGCCGTGGTCCACCAAACATGGATCGAGTTCCCTATCCTCATGGATATGAAGGACCAAATTCTCCAAGATCGTGGCACCCGCAGGTCAGTTTCCGGTGATTTGAATCTGCAGATTTTTCATGCTTACAGAATTGGTTTTAATGTGAAGCCTTGATTTGCAACGTTTTGTTTTGGCTGCTTCTTTTCCCTTTTCCCTATGTATGCTCTTGGAAACTTCTTTTGGTTTCTGGTTTTCAGGCGGTTAGCAGGGGAAATCCTGGGGCTGATGCTTCCAGTGTGACTTCAAGAACTATGCCCCCTCCAAGGTGATTCTTTGAGCCTGTTGATCTTTTAAAGAAACTATTATTATATACGTTAGAAAGCTGTTCTGCCTCTTTAATTAGACGGATAATCTTTCCTGTTAATTAGTTTGACTGCCTTGTCTACTTGCATAATTTGCAGCTTCCTGTAAGCATTTCGGGTCTCTAAGCCTGTGTTAGCCATGAGTTCCCTTTTCCCCTTCTCCTTCCCCTCCCTTTTCCGAGCACTAGTTTAATAGTTCTTTGGATGACCTTGATTAGATTTTTAGTTAATACCACTCTGGTTCTTAATATAAGTCACTTGTAATACTTTCTTGTATGCCAAGGAATACATTAAATTGACAGAAGTTTCCAATTTTACCCTTATTAAAGCTCTCTCTCTCTCTCTCTCTCTCCCTCCCCCCCCCTCTCTGCATTTACAATTTACAAATCATTATCATATCTCTATAAGGGTAAAATTGGAAAGCAAGCATTAAATATGCTACAAGTGATTTACATTTAGGATCAAAACTTTTCCCTACAAGTCATTTAGGACTAGAGTGGTATGATTTATTGGATAACGGTAGCTGGCCTTTCTTATTGTAAGTTCTATACAACAGGAAATAATAGGATGTTGTAAGCAGAAGTTATCCTTTATTTAAGCTCTGGATGTTGTTATATTTATGCGAAATTGTTGTTGTTTCCAGGAATGGAAATCCATTGCACAATATGACGAGCACCACTGTGGAGGTCACCATCCCCCACATGTATTTGACCCACGTTTATGGGGATAACAATAGCAACCTGATTCACATCCAGCAGGTCTGTTCTTGACTTGTATGATTTCTTGGCTTGGGCTATGGAGAGCTGGAGATCTCAGACCTTGGATTGTCTCTCATAATGATATATCACTACGATGAATCTCAAAGATAATCCAATGGCTGAAAGTCAGGCTTTCCATAGCGTCTATCACTCAGTTTTTATTGTTTTAACATTTGAGATTTCCTCAGATCTCAGGTGCGAATGTGGTGGTTCATGATCCAAATCCTGGGGCCTCGGAGGGTTTGGTTATCGTCTCTGGTGCTCCTGAGCAAACTCGTGCTGCTCAAACCCTCATCCAAGCTTTCATTTTTTGTGGGCAGGCAGCAGCCTGACACAATGACAGCATTCAATCTGTAGATCATAGTGTTTCTTAGGTTAGGATCTTTAATGAGTATCATGTCAAGGTTTTCATGTCATGACGTAAATTTTAGAGAAAATATGACTCATAAAAGACTTACCTCCTCACTTTAGCATTTTTAAGGGTTAAGGTACAAATCTACCTAAGAATATTAATGGACACTTTTGCATCCAAGTTAATATTATGGTGCCAATTTTGTATTTGTGTATTTTTTGAATAGATTTGTAACTTAGCCCATCTTTAATTTAGGAAAAATTAATCTTTGGGTTGTTGATCCCTTTATAATTTAATCCTTACACTTTGATTTGGGGCAACGTAGTTTGTATAGTTTTACTTCGTTGTAACTAATTTAGTCCTTGAATTTTGACTCATTACAACTCAATCTCTATAGGTTTAACTATTTAGTCTCTACTTTTATTAGGTATATAATTTTATATTTCTAAAACCTAGGGATTAAATTATAAAATAGTTTAAATTATAGGGATTGAGTTGTATTCACTTAAAGTTCAGAAATTGAGTTGTATCGAATTAAAGTGTAGGAATTAAGTTACAAATGAGTTAAAACTATAGAAACAAAAAAGTTAATTTTTCCTTCAATTTATTTTTCTTCATGAGTTATTTAATCACCTTTGTTGGATAATATTTATTCTTCTGTCAAGAACTAATATAAAATATGGTAAGTTGCAAAGTTTTGAATAGTTATTTCAGAAATAAATCTAAGGACCAAAGAATGAGGTGTACTTGCTCGAAGCTAAATCATGTGCCCACTTTATGTTTGATTTTCAAAGGTAATTCTCTGAGCTATTGCCTATTCTTTCTAGCACTTCGAATGGGGTCGCAGGTGATTCATATGAATAATGGTTGCTTCCTTCATCAACGAGATGACTATTTGTCATGTCACAATTTGCTTCTGCTGGAATCAAATATGTTTGCACAGGGAACAATTTTAGCATGTTGGCCAAGTGTTACATGTTGCTAATTAACAGGTACAAAGACCTTGAGATGCAGAAATATTGACACGCACAACAATATGCAAAAATGAAAAGATGATACTCTCCAAGCACAAAGCATGACCTCTGAACATGTGGAGAGATAATAAATGATTTTAGGGCGGCTTAAAGAACTCTGTTTATTGTTTACCAATATAGTGAATAAATTTTAAACACATTTGTGACCCTAAATCATTAAGTATTACCCTCAAATCTCACTTCTGCCCAAGCTCTCACAATATTTTTCCCATAGCTACTTGTTTTAAATATCTTAATTATAATTATGTTATCATAAATGGTATTACTTCACTGGTTAGTTCCAACCAGAAACGAGCAATAGAATGCCATTCAGTTGGTAAGAAATCAGTTTATAATGTACAAAGTCATGAGTTTAAATCCTGCGATTAGCTCATGTGATTATCTTATTTGTGAGCAATCTATAAATATTTATGCAAACGTTTTTTGAGTTTAAAGGCATGTTTTGGTAAGCTTTTAGAATCTAACTCACCTAAATCTTTTTGTACAAAACATAAACTATAAACTGAATCACATTTTGGTTGAATGGCATAGCATAATCTACGAGAAGAGTGCAAGGCTGCTCTATTATTTCTTTCAACCAAGCTCGGTGTAGTGATATTTTATCCACAAATCTGATAAATGGAAGAGATGTTTGCTTTAAAGTGCTCATAAAGAACCCAATACAAAAGGAATTATCAATAACAATCCCCTTACACTCTTAAGTTGTTCCATTTAAACAATTACAACACCAGGGAGAGCATTATCAGCCCAAAGTTAATCAAAATCTCCGGGGTAGACACTTAGCTGTCTGTCACAGAACAAGAATAAAGGACCTCTGCTAAAATATATAAAGGGTAAAATACAAAATGCCCATGTCAGGATTTTCGCTAAACTGCGGTAAAACCAACTCTTACAATTTACACCTTAAGGCAAGCACTCCCTGTCACTCCTTTTACATGGAATCAGTCTGTACTGGGATCCATATGTAAAGGTCTAACATCATGAATCATCAGTGTCGCTTGCCAAACTAAGAACTACCTGCCTGGCCTAAACTTTTATTCTGCACATCATTCACGGGAAAGATCTGAATTCCTGAAAGTTGTAAAGAAATAAATCAATAACAAACTTTTTTCACTGCATTGTTGCTTACCTCATTCCTATTTAATGAAGAATTGTGTCCAGGCAAGGGAGTTTTTGTCAGGTCCCTCAGAGTTCCCTGTGGTTCAGAAAATGCAAAGGAGCACATCAGAAAGTAAGACCAAAACAAATCGTGGAAATGGTGCTTGCTTGTATAGATTGCATAATTATTTCTGGAAAAATGTTGTTGAACACAAAAAAAAATATATATATATATAAGTATATTTTAAAAACCGGATGATAAGGAATGATAGTTGTTTATATTTGCAATTGTTTCCTGAAAAAGGTAATTATTAACAGGACAACAAAGAAGATAACGATCAGCATGAGGAATATACAATGAGCTAATATTTACCTTATTTGCCCACATAAGTCCACATGCATTGCAGAGAGTTCTTGGCCCTTCAGGTCCACGTCGCATCATTGGTGTGCATTTCTCACTGATGCCACAATGCCTACAGCTGGCACATGCACAATAGTCAAAAGATAGACTCAGCATCCCAAAATGGACAATGGACTAAAAGGTTTTATTGTCAGATGTAGAATCGTCATAAAGATTTCATGTGGATTTGAACCCCAAAAAGGCAAGAGAAATAAATGACAACATCTTGCACCATACATCTGCTCATTTTTCAAACATTTGGTTTGGAATGTTACACTGTTACATGAGAGCACCCATGACAAAATCCAAAAAGCACAGTATGGTAGAATAGTCCTTTTCATCACTAAGTTCGAAGGGAAGAAATCTTAATTCCTTTAAATATTTCTAATAAAAAATGGCTTTCTAATCAATCTCCATTTATTTCGAAAGCCTTTATTCTTTGCTTCATTTTTCTCGTTTTATTAATGAGTTCAGTGAGCTTACACAACATCCTGCTGTTGGGATCCAATATTATCTGATGTCCAGTTTTCATTTGTCCCCAGATTTGTTGCAGCTGGCGCAGACTCATCAGGGTTCGACTTGGAAGACGTAAATTGACCTTTATTTCTCTGCATCCTACAAAAGTCACTTGTGACGGTAAGCAAGTGGTGAAAATTAACAAAGCATGTTGCAGTAAGAATGTTAATTTAGGCATATATTTTTAAACTACAAAGAAAATAGTAGAAAAATAACTATATTAAGTTTCCAAATAATTAATATCCAAAATAATATTCCATTCCTTGAGGAAAGCAGAAGCAACAGGACAAAATATTGCTTCACTCAGGGATAAGAGGGAACTTTCATTATTGTGATGTGATGACAAAATCCCCAAGCATTAAATTTTCAGGGAAGCTCCAATGCACATCTACTAACATATACATAACACGTTTGGCGGGCTTAAGGAGTTTCAAGAGAATTATATCTCAATTCTGTGGGTATACAAACTCATGCCCTCACCGATATACTCTAAAAAGGTGCATTATCTATAAACTAAGAAGAGTAAAACTCATTCTCAACCTCCATATAATACAAAAGACCAGCATCTAGTTGCGACAAATAGGAGGCCACAAGAAGCAAATCTAGATGATTGCAGACTCATCATGAATGAAGAAATTCGCCCATATGTTTCGATCTATAACATTTAACCATTATCAAAGTGCAGAAAGAAACAAATTATAATCAATACTAGCAAATAAGTCCCGGAGCTTTATAAGATTCATAAATCAACTCACCTCAGCTTCATGTAAACCAAGACGAATCTACTATCAATCGCAAATCATTAAGTACAACAGAGTGACAGTCCAAGTAAGCTTACTTTGGGTTATAACCATAACAAGCACCATACCTTAATGCCACTTCTTTACGAACAGTATAACGTATTTTCTTTTCAAAATTTCGTTCTTTCCGCTTTTCCCGAAATCTAATCAATGAGGCTAATCTTTGAGGGACACTGAGTTTCATTGGAGTCCCAGACATATCCTGGTTAAACAATTTGTCAGCCAGACAGTTGTCAAGCAAAAGATTCTTGATCGTAATTCAACCATAAAATGGTAGGAATACCCGGTTATTATGGTGAACATTCATTGGATTTGCAGACATGGAAGGTACTTCACGGCCTCCCAATAGTAGCAGCACAGCTTGAACCTGAAAGTGAAACCTAAGGATTATCAGAAATCATTTCCTTTAGCCTTTTAAATCAGGGAGGCAATAGCCCGTTATTAGTAGGTCAAGAACAGATCATGGATTATCAGACACCACATTCACCCTTCGAAACAGTATTTTACTACATCTATATGTCATAAAACATGTTATATCATATTAAGATAAAATTCTCCACATTAAAATAGCTGCAAATTGAGATGCATTGCATGTCCATACCTACGCAATAAAGAAGACCAATCAACATTTCTTGCAGGATTGTACTTAATCCATGATCAACAAATAGTTTTAGCAAGGGAAAATTGAGAAAATAAGCATGCATAGACAACAGGCTGAAATGAATAGTGCATATAGACCCCTCTCTTTTCATTGTCCATAGCTGTCCACTATAACATATTATAGCTATATTTGCCAAAGTGAATAGGTGTGGATTCAGAAGTAGAAACTAATTAATCTACTTGGCTGCAATTTTATTAATTCATCTAATTCTAAACTCAAGCATCCTCAATTAAGAGTTTAGGGCGTAATAATGTGGAAATCCTCTCATATGAAACATTTTAAATAATTAAATCAAAATACTTCACTTTGCCTCATTATTTTTATGAAAGATATATCAATAAATAGTTGAACCCTGCATAGTACGTAAGAACACAGTAAAAACACAAAGAAAGTCAGTTAGGTTAATGCACCTTTTCCGGCGACACAGAGTCAAATACATAAACCTGGCCTTGAAAAGACAATGTGAGCTGGTCACCACTAGCTTGTTCAATTATCGCACCATGATCGTCAGTGACATTTCCAGGGTTGGAAACTTCTCCTTCTACACTCTCATGTCTGCTGACATTAGCATCACCACAGTTGTTATTGTCCTCCATCCTATTTCCATCACTCATATGGTCCAATCCATGTTGTTCGTTTTCTGGCACATAGGGCACATGCATCGAATGTTGTGCATCACTCATGTGCATACGAGAATCACTCCCATGAATACCATCCATAGTATAGAAAGGCCCGGAAAACACCTTTAGAAATGGCAGAAAGATTTATTAAAGAAAATAGAAGGGGGGTAAAAACCCAGTCACAAACTATGGAGAGCACTTTTTATGTTTGAAAAACACATATAGGTAGTTAACTGCATTATGGTGTGCACACTACATGGCATCATAGGGAAATATAACGTTAATCACATTCATAAAGTGAGATGTAATATTTCATCCCATTATTTTTTCTTCTAAAAATGGATTATATCAAAATTTAAGGTCAAAAAGGAAAGAAATGCTGAAACAAGGTTAGCATCCAATAATGGGCATGGAAACAAACAGAACCAGAGAACCACAGATAATTATCACACGCCAGCATTGAACCTTGACATCAAGTCGGATCAATTTACTTATCACAATTTAAGTTTCAACTCAATCTTCAAGTGATTTCTCTTTCCTTTGCAGATGGCAGACATTCCATCACAGAAAAGCAAACATCCTGTTTGAAGCGTGCTCCATTACTAGATACAGTAAAAATTTAGCCAATACAATAAAATAGAGGGAGACAAAGCTAGAACTAACTATGATGGACACACTTAGTTAATTAAAGAACTCTGCCAAACAATCGATATTGCTGAGTTTACAGAATAAGTACTCATTTAACAATAATCAGATTAACTAGCTATAAAGCAGCGAAAAAGACAATACCCACAACTTCAATCGCCGTTAATTAAACGACCCACTATAGATTCGTTTTGAATACGGACATAAGGGCAATAAAAGAGGAAACACCGGGACGAAGGAAGAACTTGAACGAACAGAAGCAGCGCAGGGGATTGATAGAATAGCAGCAAGGTTTTGTCTTGATCTGCACAAAAAGCCAGAAACGAAGCCAGATACCTCCACAGGGGAAGAAATGAAGAGGAAGGGTAAGAGCAAGTGGGGAGAAAGAGAGAAGAGAGGAAAAAGCAGGAACCAAATGAGAGAGTAACGGGAAAAAAATGCCTCGGAATGGAAGCTCCTGTCCGGCTTTCGTTGTTGTTGAAAGTGGGAATTGGAGGGTAATATATTGTGGTGAGGTGATGATGAGGAATGAGATCAGGGGAACATTACCCACTTTTCCAAGTCAACATTTTTCTCAACCCAATATTTCATCATTATATGTACCCTCGTGACCTCGACAATACGAACTATTTCACATTGCAGCATGAATTTAAACTTAGCCTATAATTTATTATGGTTTTTTTTTTTCAGTCTGAGTCTAATATGTATAAAAGCCTGACCTGACTTAAACCTGTTAAAAAAAACTTGTATTTTTAAAATGTATAGTAAAAAATACATAGACTAATAAAAAAATAAAATATGCATACTACATAATAATTATTTTTTATTTAAATTTTAATGTTATAAGTAATAGTTTAAATTTTAATTACAATTAATATTATTGAAAACAAGTTATAAGTACATATTAAAATTTGAAATAAGATTAGATATAAGTATAAAATAAAAATTAAAAATTAAGATAAATAAACAATCAGATCAGACCTTTTTTAATTTTGAAGCAAGTCAGGTCAAACTAGACCAAATACATGCTAAGCCAAAAGTCTTTGATAGGCCCCTGGTCTATCTTCACTTTTATTTGCTTTTTCTTGTTTTTGAAAAAAAAAAAAGCGAGATTGGCCCCAAAAAAAGTGAGGTTTGTAATTAATCATTACTAATTTCTAAGATTGTAACTCATTATCACATGTTAAAAATGTATTAAATTGAAAATTTATAAATTTTCATATAGAAATACAAATGTAAAACTTATAAATTTACATATTAACTCAATCTAATGGTTATAAGCAATTTAATCTAAATTTTGTCATTTTAAGCCTTTGCTAAAAATCATTCTCTAAGTTATTTTCATAAAATGAAATTAAGTCAACACTTATTAATAAAATATTATTCCTATTCTCAGTATAAGAACTAGTTAACTAATTTGAGTGGATTAAAAAAATTAGTTAAGTAAATTATTTGTAATAAATAAGTGTTGTCTTTTCTAAAATACTCTTACTAATAATGTTTATTAGCTAAAATTACAACTTGATGAAACTTACATGTATAACTACTACTATAAGATTACTTTAAAAAAATGAATAAATATGAGAGATAAACTGAATTAAAATCCTATAATTAAAACTAAATTAAATGTCAAATTAGCTCTTACTACTATATTAAAAACGGGAGCAGATAGTTTTAATAAAATTATAGTATTTTTAATTTTTTTTATTTCTATCCTTAATTAATGGATCTAGATCCTCTGGAATCTCTCTTCTTTTTCTTTTAGTACCCCTCTACCATTTTCATAAAACAACATTAAGATAATTCACCAAAAAAAAAAACAACATTAAGATAAACATGCTAATAAAGTTATAATTGAGATGATAAGGGGTCTCAATCTCATAGAGAAGAATATAAATTTAAATCCTGAAAAATAAAGTCTACTTATTGGAAGAGTTTTAACTATATCTAACAGAAATTAGTTTCCAGGTCCAAAATAATTTGAGGATATATTAAGTTACAATGTTACATAAAAAAAAGTTTTTTAGAGATAACATTTTGGGAGGAAAATGAAAAAAAAATTACTAAAAAATTTTCTATTACAAATTTGTTGTCTAAAGTTATATGAAATTTAGTTAATAGTTGATGCCCAATGGGTACAACTTTTATTTAAGTTTGTGTAATTTATCATCAATTATTTGCAAACCTGAAAATATTTCCATATAATATACACTTAAAAGATACTTTGTTGCATGGTTGATGGTTACATAAGTTTTGTGTCAAGTGATTTGCTTTAAATTAAAACGTACTGAATGATTTATTTTTAATTAATTTCCAAAGCCCCGTTTGAAGACCGTGAGGGAGGGAGGAGGAAGAGAAGCCATGGAGCAGTCCAGTAGGCCATTTTCCAAGTTTTCAACTCGGCATCCTTCTCCCTCCATCTCTGTGCTTCATTCTCATCTACAAAACCTGAAACCCTAATCTGCTTATCGTTTCTTTCCTTTTTCGTTTTCATACTTGTCTATTTTTCTTCTTCAGCTTGAAAATTTTCGGAGACACAGAATTTGTATCGATAGATACAGTTGCGAGCATTCATGCGAACATCATACCTCCTTCTTCGGCATCGTTTTAGCCGCTCACAGCAACACACTTTTCAATCCATCCCCATCGTCAAATGTTCACTTCGTTCCGCTAATTTCTCACAGCTTTTATTATTTCACACCTCTCAACATCAACTACCACAAACAAGTGATAGCAGTATCGCCCAAGCCCCATCTGGTTCCTCTTTACTGTTACGAGGCAATTTTCCGACGGCGGCAACTTCAAGACGATTCGCTTTGCTTGGCTTTCTTGGGTTGGATGGCCATCGTCACTTAAATCCTCCCCATTATCCTCAGTATTCGTTGCATCGGAGTAAGATTTTTTTTTTTAATTACTATATATGGTTCTCGAGTTCCTTCGCCCATTTCTAAAATCTTTGGTTTGGTTTATCTTTTGTAGGTTTTTTTACAAGGGCAAAACAATTTAAGAAGATTGATTTCAATGATCGCCACAGGTTTAACTATGCTTAACTCTTCCTCATTTCGGCGTTGACTTGTTTCAATGAGTTTGACTTAGAAATTTTGCTTCGATCCTTGGAGCTTGCAGCATAACACAATGGCATGTCCTTGATTCGCGTATGTTAGATAATCTTTTTTTCTTTCGACCAACAGCTAATATTTCTTATCTTTTTTGTTGTTTCTTCATTTCTTTAGTCAGCGGGCTGTAACAACTGCATTGTGGTGTAACTTTCTTGTCTTTTCTCTCAAGTTTGGAGTTTGGTTAGCTTCCTCTAGCCATGTTATGTTTGCTGAAGTTGTGCACTCAATTGCAGATTTTGCAAACCAGGTATTTTGTTGCATTTTGTATAATAAATTGATTGGCGTAAACTTACCTTGGATTTTAAATTGTTTTATTGTATATTGGCTCCAGAGAAACTAATTGTTGACACATTGTAGGCACTGCTTGCTTATGGTCTTAGTAGTTCAAGGCGTGCACCTGATGCTATTCATCCGTGAGTTGCACATTCTTAATCACATTTGCCAGTTTCCCATCTCTTAGCTCATGTGTGACTGCACATGCATTCAGTACCTGTATATCCACATGCTGTATACTACCAAGTTATCCTGTATGGAACGCATGAGGGAATGCATGAAACCAAGAATAGCTATTGAACCTAGTCATTCAGTGAATTGTACTTATTAGCTGCATAATTGTTACAAATTAAACATGACTTAAGTTTATATGCCGCAATGTCACAAGATGCATCATGTACATACCGGCAATTTATTTGCACAGCTGACCAGTGACATTTATTTCATCTTTAGTTAATGTTGCAAAATGATATATTGTGTTTCTACAGTTACGGCTATTCCAAGGAAAGATTTGTTTGGTCTTTAATATCTGCTGTTGGAATATTTTGCCTTGGTTCTGGTGCTACTGTTGTTCATGGGATTCAAAACTTGTGGATCGCTCAGGTATTTGATCAGATTAAATCTTGTAATTTTCACTTCTTAATCTGCAACTTTAATTTATGACCTTTTCTTTCTTCTTAGCACATATTTCATAAATAATGTATGAATCTGTGAGTTTTCTTTTCAGCCCCCTGAGAACATGCAGCTTGCAGCTTTGGTGATAGGTGGTTCATTTCTCATTGAAGGTACTGGTATATTCATTTTAATTTGATCTACTGTGTTCTCTGTTTTATTTTCTGTTCCTTTCTCTCTTTTAAAGTTTATATTTTGGTTAGGCGCCTCTCTTATTGTTGCCATAAAAGCTGTCAAGGAAGGTGCAGCTGCAGAAGGGATGAAAGTGAGAGACTATGTTTGGCGTGGTCATGATCCTACTTCTGTTGCTGTAATGACGGAGGTAACTTACTGCATTTTTAATTATTAGCTTCTGTGACACGTTCCTGTTACTTGGGTTCAAAAAGGAAAAACTTGAAATCAGGAGA